GTGTGTTTGCAGAGCTGTCGTGCTCTCGAAGCTGGATCCAAGGCCTCTGAAGCCAATCACTGAAACTTTCCATCAGGGCCTGAGAAATTTTCGTGAGCCCGTCTGCGAACATGAGTCCTGTGGGGACCCAGTGACATCCCTCTCGAGTCACCTCTTGCTGCGTGCTCCTGATGGAAATGATCGTACGTTTCTCCTCAGTGTTCGGGTTTTCCGCACAAATGCAATCGTACAAGCTTCGACAATCCGTAACATGAAGGGAGCGCAAAAGGTGGCTGAGCTTGTAGGAAGGAGTCTTTTGAAACAGTTCGCAGATCATGTGGTTCAAAAAAGAACTTCGGTCTACCGACATGTCTGCCGCCGATGCCTCGGCCGCTAGTGTGCTTCGGCACACTCGTGGGCTGCGAGAGGATTTGAAATCCAGGAGCAAGGCTGTTCCAACCTGATCAACTATGCTTGGCGGTGCCAAAAGAGTCAAACTGCCGTGTTGAGAGGCATACGACTCGGCATTTGCCCAACTTGAATCTGAAAACGTCACCAAGTTGGTGGCCTGGTTAAATGCCACCGGGTAGAGATTCAAGCCACGATCTTTCGTGGATTGCAAGTGGGAAACCGCTTCAAACATGGCAGCTAGATCGCCGTAAGTGGTCTTTTGACCTCTGGCACTCAAGGAAACTGTCGACGCGACGTCAGGGCGCGTCTGTCCGGAAACCCATTGAAGGCTTCCTGCAACTGAGCGCATCTCAGGAAGGTCACTCGAGGCCAGGACTTCACCGTGTCGGCTTTTAGGGATCTTGGTCTGTGGTCCACGCATGCCCTCAATGAATGAGGTCTGAACCAAACTCAAAAAGTGCACCTGCTTTTCGTTGTCATACTTGAGGGAGATGTTCTTGCCTTTGAAGCAGATGCATTCCTTTTCTGTGAGCTCGGTCTGTGAACCCCAGGTGAAAAGCTGCAATACATGATCACGATCGTACCGATCATCGTGTGCCAACAGAAAGTCGTCCACGTAGACCATCACAATGCTCATGAGGGTCTCATCAGAGCTGCCTGGTGGCTTCTGGTAGTAGGCAAACAACTGGCTGTCCAAAGAGTGGCGCACATATCCGGCCTTCATGAGGCGTTTTGTGACCTCCAGCGACCACACGCGAGGGGCGTTGGCCAATCCGTAGATGTTCCCCTTGACTTCATACAGGGGTGCAGTGAAGGTCTTTGCCCGAATGGTGATCGGGTCTCTCGGAGGTGCCAAGTACAAAGGAGCTGCACGGCCCTCCTGCTCGCCCTGCAAAAAGGCGGTCTTGACATCGCCGCTCCACAATGTCCATGAGCTTTCCTGAGACATCAACAACTTGTTTTTGCCGCAAATGTAAAAAGCCAGCAAAACAAATTCAGCTTGTCTGGTTGGTGTGGCACACTCGCGATTCAAGCTGTAGATGTCGGGGTCCAAACAACCAATCGCGACCACTCTGGTCTTGGCCTTCAAGGGCGGGATGTGCTTGTTCTTGTCGCGAAAGGCTGAGCGACTCTTCAAGATCCTCTTGCAGAGGTGTGGAGTGTTGAAGACGGTGTCTGCCTCCTTTTGGCCTAGTGGCCGGACGCTTGCCCACTGATTCCAGGAAGACTCTTCGTCCTGCGCGGACTTCACGAAGGCTTCAATGTACTCCTCTGACTGTTGCATGATGAACTGCCAGGGAAGCTCCTTGTCCAATGCCTTCTGCTCAATGCGGGACAGTGCTGGTGCTTCAGATGGTTGGAGTCCTCGAAGATCAGGCCCTCCGTCTTCTGAGTCATCACTGTCTCCATTGCCGTTGTAGTCAGGAGATTGTCGGTATGCATTGAGACAGGAGTGCGTCGAGTATGGCATCTTGATCTCTTCAGTGCCATCGAAGCCGTCGTCCTGGAGCTGGATGCCATCATGATCGTTGTAGATCAGGTGGTTGTAGGTGAGTGCTACAGTGTGTGTTGCACTGCCTGTTGCTTGTTCCTTGGAACTGCTCTCAATGGCTGTATCGGGTGCAGTCTCTGCGATGCTTCGCTTTGCCGGTGTGTGTCGGTGCTCAAGTTCTGCTAGTGTCGGTGTCTTCTGCCCGGATAGGTCCTCAGGTGTTCTGGGAACCATCTGTGCTAGTGCTCGTGCCTCAGCGGTGTCGTCATCGGGTGTGAGGTCGATGACTTCTGAAGTGTCACCTGTTGGTGAAGTGCGGGTCGCTGCTGCTGCTGTTGGTGCTAGTACGTTTGCAGATGCTTCCAACTGCGGCTGCTGCGGCCTTGTAGTGCTTCCAAGTTGCCTGACTGGCGTCTTGGATCGTGTCCTGTGTTGTTGTCTCACAGGGGTGCGGACTGGTGCTCTGGATGCTTCTTCTGGTCCAAAGCCAAAAGTCTGCTGCTGGTAGATGTTTGTCTGCCTGTAGCTCGGTGAGCTGATGTTCATGTGGAGATGTTGCTCCACTGCTGGTTCTGGTGTCGGCAGGTGCAGTGCCGGTGGTTCTGTTTGTACTTCCTCGTGCCGTGGAGGTTCTGCTTCTGCTGCTGCCGGGTGTTGTGGTGTCAACGTTGGCAGGAGCATAGGTGTCTGTGGTTCTGCTTCAAGGTTCATGTAGGGATCTTCCATCGCCTGATGTCCTTCAGGCGGCTGTTGCGCTATCTCCTCATCCTGTAGGATGCCTTGCTGGAGATTTGCCGATGCCTGTCGTAGTGCTTGTATGTCAGTGGCATCTGGGATCCATTGCTCATATCCATGAGCTGCTCGGATCTGGTGCTGTGCCACCTTGATGGTATTTGTTCCGGATTGGATCCAGTAGGACCGTTGGTCAGGGTCCCTTCCGAGAAGACGGGCTAGACGATAGCCTCCTCGCTTTCGCCCAGAGCGGGCAATCCATCGCCAGTAGGCGACTATGGATCCAACTGGTGCTTGGAGCTCTGGCTGCGGTGGTGTCCGTCGCAACAAAGCTCGTCTCAAAGAAGCATCGATGGTCATAGCTGCCAAATGCTGCTGTGCCTCAATGCGAAGGAAATCGGTGTGGCGTTGCACTTCTGACTGAGTGCTGCCCATGATCAATCCACGGGGATTGGAGAGAAGGTCGAGCCCAACCCGTGGCATTCTTCCCAAGGCAGCTACAAATGGCGGACGGCCGGAACTCCAGGTTCCAGAGTTCTTTGCATAGGTTGCAGCACCACAAACTCTTTCCATGCCTTCGAAGCCAGTGGTTCCATTCTGGTTCACCAACTTCTCCATGATGTAGCGCATGGTGCTATTGTGTCTTTCAATCAAACCAAGGCGATGATGCGCCTCTGGAGGGCAGTAGTCAATGAACACGCCCAAAGCTGAGAGCTCTGCTTCGAACTGTCCATGTTCTTGACCCCGAAATGCTCCATCTGGGTCAGTCCTAATCGTCAATGGCAAGCCGTAGGGTTTTCCCCAACAAAGCATGAACTTCCGGAAGGTCTCTTCAGGTGCACGGCTTTCCAAAACCGTGGCCGTGTGCAAGTGTGTGGTTTCGCAAATCACCCCCAAAACAGGAAAGTTTGCTCCAGCAGTGTCTCGACAGTAGACAATGTCCATCTGAAGGGCGTCACCAAACTGCTGGTATCCATCTCGAGGTGGATGAGCAAGTGGAGGACGAGGTGGCATGCGAGTTCTTTCACACGTGTCACAAGTCATGCCATCAATGGCTGCCATCAAATTGGGATCACGGGCACCTGACATGGCCAACATGTTCTTCAGTTCACCAGGGCTCGGATGTCCCATGTTGCGATGGACTCGCGAGAGCATCTGCTTCATCTCGGCGTTGATCCGGATGCCTGGCTTGAATGAAATGCCATGAGGTGGTGTCAGCTGGATTTGTCGTCTGGGGTCATCATCGGTAGGAGGTTGTACTTCATCAGGTCGCTGATCATGGCCTGGTTGTGGATTGGCCAAAGGTTCAGCCTCTTGCGGCGCAGGGTCATCTGCACTGCCATAGCCGTAGAAAAAGATGCCAAGCTGAACGGCCTTTGGGAATCGGCCGCGAGGGTGATGAACATCACTCAAATCCTCACAGCTGATGTCGTAGGTGCCGTCTGCAAAACGCAAGGCCCAACCGCGGTGGGTGTGTGGCACATGTACTGGAAGGCGATGTACGACAGGTTGAACTGTCAGTTGAATGCGTTCCAGTTGAGACCATCCAACAAGGTCATGCACTTTGGCCCAAAGTGGGTGCGAGTGAGGCACCAAGTAGTTCCGCTGACTGGTGCGGCTGAAGGTCTCATCGGCCATCTCAAAAGCTGGCAACCAATTCTCGACTGAGTTCGTGAAGTGGACCATCTGGACTTTGAAGGAGGTCTGCCTGTGACCAAGCCTCTGAAAGCGATGCTGGTCATCTTGTTGAGCAAGCTCACGCACACCAAGGAGGATGGCCTTGACCATCTCTGGAGGGTAAACAGCACTCAAGGTCGTGTCTCGACCTTCCAAGGGAACACAAGCTCGTTGTTCTTCAGGAGACAGCCGTCGTTGTAGACGTTGGAGCACTGGTGCACAGTTCCCAAGAAAGCGATGCGCTTTGCGAATGGGCTGTCCCTTGGAGTTGGTTGCGCCGTAGGCGCCAGCATGGCAGATTGCTTCTTCAGTGCCAGGGAGGTCACGAAGTCGTAGTATGTAAGGTTCTTGCCAAAGACGGCTAGTCAAAGGATTCTCGATGAGCCAGTAACGGCCCTGTTGTGACTGCTTGACGCACCATTCAGCCACTTGCACCAAGATCTTCCTTGCTCTGGCTCGCCGCTTCAGCAACTGGATGTGGCGATGTAGGTAGTTCACATTGTCCTGGAGGAGCGTCCAGTCTTTGCAGTCGACTCCTTGGATCAAAATGAGTGGCTTGAAGCGGTCGATCATTGAACTCACACGCTGCTGATCTGGAATGAGGCTCAGATCAAAACCAGTGCTGTAGTCCACCGGTTCAATGGCCTTCAGGCCGAAGGTCTTTGCTCGGCGTGTGATGTTCGCCTGCCCGGCAAAGGTCTCGAGCAGGTCACAGACAGCTCGTGTCCAGCACCTCAAAGACGTCAACCTGAGACACTGGCCGCTTTTCTCTCAAGCCATCCATGGCCACATACTCAATCTCATAGACACGGAGAGCTCGACGAACCTCATCAAGAAGCTTACGCCTGTTCTTCACCGAGGTCAGGCTGTTCTTGTTGAACTGGGTGATGATCGTGAAGACCGTTCTGCCAGTCCACTGTACGGGATTGGGAGGCTGTGAGCTCTTCCATTCATAGGTGTAGGTTCCATAGTTGCCATCTGGGAACTCCATCTCGGCTGTGCACACTGGTTCAAGCCTCTGGAGAGGTACAGGGCATGGACAATGTTGCAAGTCGAAGTAGTGACACCTTGGAGTGAGGTGGTGTCGAATGCACAAGCCCTGCTTCACTTCCCAGTGGTCATCTTTCAACGGAAAAGGTGAGCCGCATACCTCGGAGTGTCCTGATCGTCCGGGTACTGGTCGGGATCGTCGGAGTCCGGCATGATCACATCGTTCGGGTGGTAGTCGGCCCGAATCTGCTCCCAATGAGCTTCCCATTCCTCCGGGGTCCACACGGCTTGATCGTCTTGCAGAGGAAGGTGGATGGTCGGCACCGAGCTCTTGCCCTTTCCACTGCCCTTCATGGTCCGAGAGGTGTTCGAAGCGCTCGAGGATGTTGCGGACTTCTTGCTCTTCGCCTTGGCTTTGGGCGTCGACTTGGCCAGGGCTCCCTGCTTGTACTGGATGGCGTCCAAACCTGTCACCGGACAAATGATGTTGTCCGAGGAGGGTAGCGGCAAGGGTGTAAATCGCAAGGATGAGTCCCCGCCCAGTTGAAGCCATCCTCCCTCGTCGGGATTCCACTGGAACCTGGCCATGCACCTTTTGCACTGGGCGTAGCTCCCGTGCTTGTTGCCGTAACGGCGGAACTCCGGATGGGTGCATGTCGACATTGGCTGAGGCGGTGTGGTCTTGGTCTGAAGTGCCATGTCCTTGGCATGGTCCTTCTTCAGCTCCTCCAACTCCCAAGCCGTCATCCAACGGCGTGGCCTCAAACCAAACTTCACAAGGCGAGCCATCGCTCGCAAAGCTCGGAACTCCAGCATCATGACTTTCATCACGAGGGATCGCCAAGCTTGCATCCATTCTGGTGGAAGACCGAGCATGGGAAGGCGAAGCTGGTCGGTGATCGAATTGCTTGGACTCTCGTTCCAAAAAAGCTCGCGACAAAACAACTTCTGGATCCGGGTCATGCCAAACGTGTGCACGGCTCAACTCTTTCCAACAAACATCTTGATGAACTTTCGAAGGAAATGAACAAATGCTGACTGCCCAATGGCCGTGCTTGAAGTGCAAAGGAAGTGTGACACCCAAAACTGTAAACACAACAATGCACTGTGCAGTATCAATGACACATCCAAGCTTCTGCAACATCGTGTTGCTAGCCAAAAAAGGAATATCAGCATCTAACACGTTCACACCTAGCAGCAAACCCTGAGTCTCCTGGCCTGGTAGTGATGCAGGTAGGTATGCTCGACAGGTGCTGCGCTTCGGGCCACCTGAGCCAAATTGAAACAAATCGGTGGTCTCCACATTCTTGACCGTGAGGCGGTGGTGGGACAAAATCTTGGAATGAAGACTCAACCAATAGTTTCCACAGCAAGCTCGCTGGCAAGCAGTATCCAAAATCATTGTTCCGGAAAAATCAATCACCTCGGTGACAAAGGTGGTGGTTGGTTGATTGCCCAAAAAGAAGGTGGTGTACGAAAAGTAGGAGGTGTGGTGGTCAAAGTCCTTCTCGGGTTCATCGGAGTCGGGGAAACGCACCATGAACGCCTGCTTGGTGGGTTGAGAAGTGCTGCTGCTACCCCGATGCTGCTGTCCTTTTCCTTTGCCATCGGAGTTGCTCTTGCCACGGCCTTTGTTGTCATGGCCTTGACTCGATGAACCGCTCTGCGGACAAATTGCATCTCCGTGCCAGTGTCCGACACGTCCACAAGCACTGCAAGTTGAAGTCCGCTTCCGGTCATCGATGGTGCGAGGTCGGCCGGTGAATTTGCGGCCAAGAACTGTACTTTGCAACTTCTTAGAAGTCACCGTGAGCACGTCGGCTAACTGAGCAACAGCATCTTGTATCTCGGATTCCGGTGCATCCTCTGTATTGTCATTGTCAACTGTGGCTTCTGCAGGCTCTTCTTCGGCCTCATAGAAACCATCATCATCAACTGGCTCCTCATCTTCCGGTTGTTCCGGAATGTCACCCAGCTCATCAGCCTGCTCTGCAACAAATGCCCTTTTGGGATGATGCTTCCCAAATCCTTTGGATGAGGGTCGTGAACTGGCTGAGGACCAAGTTGAGGCTGCAGTCGATGAACTTGAACTGAATGCTGATCCTTTACCTGAAGGTGGAGGTCTCGAAGCATTGTCACGCTCTCGCTGGAAAACAGCTGGTGCCGGCTTGAAGTCTGGAAACTGGAGGTTCAAGGCCTCCTGGATCCGCTCGTACTCCAAGCTGTTGCCAGCAGCAATCATGACCAATCTTTGAAGATCGGGTGCCAAGCGCGCTCTTTCCAGCAGTCTGTTTCCTTTGCTCTCAGAGTCGTACATGTTGGAGCTGGAAATCCCAATGGCCTCGAGGTCCTTCTCAACTCGACGATATCTGTTGATATATTGCCTCAAACTCTCATTGGGAAAACGCGAAAGCTTCTCAAAAGAATCCAACAATGTGCGTTTCTGAAACAACTGCTTCTGCTGTAGGGGCTCACGCAATGTGTCCAAAATGTATTGAATCCCATTGCGGTGGTGAACCTTCTGGAGATCGAGGTGTTCAACTTCCAGTTCAGCTTCCCCCGTCAGGGAGGTCAGCAACATCAACGCTGCATCTTGTGGAGGCATGTATGCAACAACTTGCAAACGCCAAATCTCAATGCGACGCTCCCAACGGGCAAAAGCTCTAAGGTCGTTTGCTTGTGGCTTCCATGCTGGTGGAGATGGTGCTGCTCCACCGCGCCACTTGACATGCTTCTCAGGCCCCTGCCTGCTGTTCCAGGATGCATCGCTCCCAGTGGAGCGCTTCTTGCGCTCATCCAACAACTGGCGAAGGGCGGTCAGGATCTCATTGGTGGGCTCATTCGAAACATCTTGTTGCTGGGCCATCGGAGGAACTGTCATGGGCCTTCTAGAAGGGGAGGCTGTGTCAACAACAGCAACTTCACCATTCGAAGGTTGCGCATTCCCTGCTCCTCGACGACGACGTCGACGACGCCATGGCAGAACTTCCAAAGTCTCTGGGTCTACCGAAGGGTCGTGGGTCAAGTTCTCGCTCTCCGGCTGTTCAGAAGCCTCATGGAAAACCTCAGGAGGATTCGAACCTGGTGAGTGCCTCAAGGTTCGACGAACGGCGGGGCGAGCTTGAGGTCGGTGGTCAACATGCTGTGCAGTAGGTCCTGTATGGGGCATATATACCCAGAGGCCATGTTCGGTGGCAGACTGAAAGGATTCAGTGGCATCGTAAAACTTCGAAGCACCGCAGTCCATGCAAGTCCACTGTCCATGCACAACAGACCAAACCGAGTGTGTTGAGGAGCATCTCAGACAGGTCCAACGTGGTCCGCCCTGGACGTCAACTTCCGGTCCCGGCTCAACTCTCGGAGGAACAACGGGGGAAGGCGAAGCAAACCTAACAGGAACATCTGACCGATCATCCTCAAAAAGGTGAGGGTATTGGGAGTCCACGTCCCCAAGCAGCTCCTCATCAAATTGAGAGGCCGGAAAGAACTGGCTCCGCGGCCAACTCACCATGACGCGTGCTAACAAAGCGACAGGTGCATACAAACGAACGGCGCGGCCTTTTCGCTGAAAAAGGACTTAAGTGCTCAGGCCCGGGCTGCGATCCGACAACACATGTCAGCCATGCGAACATCAAAAGCGTGAAATCTCACA